GTGAATGACTCTAGCTTCCTTTGGAAGTAAAGTGGCTTTGAGAAGAGTTTTTATTAAAGAGGCATTAATGATGGAGGACCCTTGCATAGTGAGGAAAAAAAATTTTTTTTGCCCATATAACAGCATGGTGGTGCAGCATATGGAAGGCATATTTAGAGTCAGTGTAAATATTGACGCATAGTCCTTTTGCAAGAGTGAGGGCTCGAGTTAAGGCAATGAGTTCGGCTTGTTGACAGGTGGTGGGGGAGGGGCAGAAAGTATATGCATCAGGTGTGAGGAAGAAAATAGATTTTGGAAGTTATGAGAACTGTAGAGAGTGAGTTGAGCATAGTTTGTGATTTTGAGGGCCTTTAAAATTATTAAGGCAGCAGCAGCTGCCACACACAGACATGAGGGCTAGGCTAAAACAGTAAACTCAAGTTGTTTGGATAAAAAGGCTACAGGGCGCGGTCCCGGTCCTTGTGTAAGAATTCCGACTGCATAGCCCTGCACTTCGGCTGTGTGTAATGAAAAGGGTTGGGATGAGTCAGGGAGAGCTAGTGTGGGGGGCAGTTTCTAGGGCAGTTTTTAAGGAATGGAAAGGAGTGGCAAAAGGATTTAGGATCTGTGGAATCAGCTAGGTTTGTTTTTGTGAGTTTATATAATGGTTTATTCAGGATGGTAAAACTAGGTATCCAAAGGCAGAAGTACCTTACCTAACCATGCCTAGGAAGGAAAGGAGTTGTTGTTTTGTAGAAGGGATTGGGGTTTGGTAGATTAACGGACACGATCAGCAGGGAGAGCACGTGTGTTTTCATGAGAATTATGCCAAGATAGATAACAGATGAGGAAGAAATTTGGGCTTGACTGAAGTAATGGGGGCTGTCTGTGAAGCTTTGCAGCAGTACAGCCCAGGTAAGTTGCTGAGGCTGAAGGGTGTCAGGGTCAGTCCAAGTGAAAGCGAAGAGAGAGGCTGGGATGAAGGGTGTAAAGGAATAGTAAAGAAAGCATGTTTGAGATCCAGAACGGAATAATGGGTTGTGGAGGGAGGTATTGAGGATAGGAGAGTATATGGGTTTGGCACCATGGGGTGGATAGGCAAAACAATTTGGTTGATAAGGCACAGATCCTGAACTAACCTGTAAGGCTTGTCTGGTTTTAGACAGGTAAAATGGGGGAATTGTAAGGAGAGTTCATAGGCTTTAAAAGGCCATGCTGTAACAGATAAGTGATAACAGGCTTTAATCCTTTTAAAGCGTGCTGTGGGATGGGATACTGGCATTGATCAGGGTAAGAGTGATTAGGTTTTAATGGGATGGTAAGGGGTCCATCATCCATCACCAAGAAGGGAGTAGAGGTATCCTATACTTGTGGATTAAGGTGGGGAGATACAAAGAGAGGGTGTGAAGGAGGCTTTGAACTGGGGGAAAAGGTGAAAATGAGGTGTGGCTGTAGCCTAGGAATAGTCAGAGAAGCAGATAATTTAGTTAAAATGTTTTGACCTAATAAGGGAGCTGGGCAGGTGGAGATAGCTAAAAAGGAGTGCTTAAAAGAGTATTGTCTAAGTTGGCACCAGAGTTGGGGAGTTTTAAGAGGTTTAGAAGCCTGGCTGTCAATACCCACAACAGTTATGGAGGCAAAGGAAACAGGCCCTTGAAAAGAAGGTAATGTGGAGTGGGTAGCCTCCGTATTGATTAAGAAGGGGACGGACTTACCCTGCACTGTAAGAGTTACCTAAAGCATCTGTGATGGTCCTGTAGGCTTCCGAGGCGATCGGGCAGCATCAGTCTTTAGCCACTAAGTCGAGAAGATCTGGGAAGGAGTCAGAGAGCCCTGGGCCAGAGTTCCAGGGGCTCTGGGAGTGACTGCCAGGCAAGTTGGACAGTCCGATTTCCAGTGGGGTCCCGTACAGATGGGACATGGCTTAGGAGGAATCCCGGGCTGCAGGCATTCCTTGGCCCAGTGGCCAGATTTCCGGCACTTGAAGCAAGATCCTGGGGTAGGCGGTCCTGGAGGAATGCCTGGCTGCTGCGGTTCAGGCGTTTGGAAGTTCTTGTGTGCTGGAGATGTGGCTGGGTTTTGTCTCACAGTGGAGGCAAGGAATTGCAACTCAGAAATACTTTGCTACGTGGCTGCCTCTACTCCATTATTGTAAACCTTGAAGGCGAGGTTAATTAAGTCCTGTTGTGGGGTTTGAGGGCTAGAATTTAATTTTTGGAGTTTTATTTAATGTCGGGAGCGGATTGGGTAATAAAATGTATATTGAGAATAAAATGTATATTGAAAATGTATATTGACCTTTTTGGGTCTAGTGCTTTAAGGCTGCTGCCAAATAAGCGATGAACTGGGCTAGGTTTTTATATTTGATGAAAAAGAGCCTAAATGCTAACTGATTTGGGAGAGGTCAGATAAAGAAAAAGGAGCATTAACCTTGACTATGCCTTTAGCTCCAGCCATCTTTTTAAGAGGAAATTGTTGGGCAGGTGGGGGAGGGCTAGTGGTGGAACAAAACAGTAAGCCAGACAGGGTGTGAGGATGGGAGGTGATAAAAGGATTATAGGGTGGGGGAGCGGAGGCTGAGGAAGAATTGGGACCTGACTTGGCCTGGTGAGGAGCAGCCTGGGGAGGAGGGGAGAGGTCACATGGGTCTGTAGAAAAGGAAGATTGGAAAGACTCAACAATGCTTGGGGTTGGGACTGAGGGGACAGGCGGGAGGGAAAGAAGCAAGATTTGGGACGAGTTGCATTGGGAACAGAGACTAGGGAGGGACCAACGTGTAAAAGAATGCCTGGACGTCAGGCATCTCAGACCGTTTGCCTATTTTATGACAAGAATTATTTAGATCTTGTAGGATGGAAAATTCGAAAGTGCCGTTTTCTGGCTATTTGGAACCACTGTCGAGTTTGTATTGGGGTCAAGCGGCATTGCAGAAGAAAATAAGGCATTTAGATTTTAGGTCAGTTGTGAGTTGAAGAGGTTTTAAGTTCTTGAGAACACAGGCTAAGGGAGAAGAAGTAGGAATGAAAGGTGGAAGGTTGCCTGTAGTGAAGGAGGCAAGTCTAGAGAAAAGACAGGGTAGAGACATGGAGAGAAGGGGTGGGGGGTGCTTGCCTCCCAGGAAAGTGGAGAAGGGGTGGGGACACGGAGAGAAGGGGTAGGGGGTACTTGCCCCTCAGGAAAGTAGAGAAGGGTAGGTAGAGACACAGAGAGAAGGGGTGGGGGGTGCTTGCCCCCAACGAAAGTGGAAAAGGGGTGGGAGGGGCTTGTCCCCCAGGAAAATGGAAAAGGGGTGGGAAGGGCTTGCCCCTCAGGAAAGTGGAAAAGGGGTGGGTAGAGACACAGAGAGAAGTGGTGGGGGGTGCTTGCCCCACAGGAAAGTGGAGAGAAAAGAGCATAGAGACGCGGAGAGAAGGGGTGGGGGGTGCTTGCCCCCTAGGAAAGTGGAGAAGGGGTTAGAGGTGCTTGCCCCCCAAGAAAGTGGAGAAGGGGTGGGAGGTGCTTGCCCCCCAGGAAAGTGGAAAAGGAGTGGGAGGTGCTTGTCCCCCAGGAAAGTGGAAAAGGGGTGGGTAGAGACATGAAGAGAAGGGGTGGGTGAGCAGCCCTGGGCTGCAATGTAGGTGAGCAGTCAAAGCAGGTGTCCCCGCAATTGACTTGCCACCAAGGGAATGTGTGTGAATGACCAAGACAGGTGTCCCCACCGTAACCAGACACCAATGAAATGTGGGTGAATAATCAGGCAGGCGTCCCCACGTGATTAAACACCAAGGGAAGACTGTCTTCCCAAGTCCGAGACCTGCGCCAGAGTTTTGGGTCCACGGATAAAATGTGTCTCCTTTATCTCTACCAGAAAAGGAAAGGAACTGAAATTAAGAGAAGGGGGAGATTGAAGTGTGGCGCCAAGATTGAAAGGAGAAAGAGGTTGAGGGATAGTGAGAGAGATTGGAGAAGAGAGTAAAAAGAGGCCGCTTACCCGATTTAAAATTGGTGAGATGTTCCTTGGGCTGGTTGGTCTGAGGACCAGAGGTCGTAGGTGGATCTTTCTCACGGAGCCAAGAGCAGGAGGACAGGGGATTGATCTCCCAAGGGAGGTCCCCTGATCCGAGTCAAGGCACCAAATTTCACGCGCGTCCATGTGAAGAGACCACCAAACAGGCTTTGTGTGAGCAATAAAACTTTTTATTTTACCTGGGTGCAGGCGGACTGAGTCCGAAAAGAGAGTCAGTGAAGGGAGATAGGGGTGGGGCCATTTAATAGGATTTGGGTAGCTAAAGAAAAATTACAGTCAAAGGGGTTTGTTCTCTGGCGGGCAGGGGCAGGGGTCACAAGGTGCTCAGTGTGGGTGCTTTTGAACCAGGATGAGCCAGTAGAAGGAATTTCACAAGGTAATGTCATCAGTTAAGGCAGGAACAGGCCATTTTCACTTCTTTTGTGATTCTTCAGTTACTTCAGGCCATCTGGATGTATACGTGCAGGTCACAGGGGATATGATGGCTTAGGTTGGGCTCAGAGGCCTGATAAAACCCATTAGTGGTAATATCACCCCTCGTAGGAATGCATAAAATACCATCATAAAGACAAAAGCTTGAACCCCATTCCTGCTCCTCACTTCATGTATGATAGTGGAATCTTTTTTCAGTCTTTGTCAGCCTGCCCTTGGTCATCTGTAAAAGGGGACTCACAGTGCCTTCCTTAGGAAACTGTTCTGTGGGGCAAGTTAGAAATTTGTATAGAGTAGATGGCACCTAGTAGGACTTCAACAGGTGGTTGTCCTGGCCCAACTTTCTCCTCCCTCCCAAAGAAGTGATGACAGTTACCTAAACCAAACAATACAACTGACACAGAGACCACCAGGAAATAGGGCGGGAAGTAGAATGTACTCACACTTACATTATGAATGAAGCATTGGAGCCATTTCTCTGTTGCAGGAGGACGTTGCTGAGGGATATGGGAAGAGGGAAGAATATTGCCAAACCATTTCTTTAATTTTGCATTATTTTCTGTTCCCTTATTTGATCTTCCAGATTGATACCGGAAAAGCCATTTCCTATTGAGCCCAAAATGAAGAGAGTGCAAATAAAGAGAAGGCAGGAATCACAAGCCCTTGACAGACACATTGCCACCTACAGGACCCTGCACCCAGATTTCATCTGCACAATCAGCTTCTTCAAAGAGAGAGAGGCTGTCGAGTTAGTACCCATGAGGGCACAATACTAGAAATGTGTAAAACTATAAGTTTTTAAGTCCTAGAAAGTCATCATCTATAAAGGAGACTTTTGGGTATGCTTTGGGGAGGTTAAGCGGTAGAATCCCATTTCTGCTCCTTATTAGATGAGTCTGAAAAAATTGATTTTCCATGAGTGAGTTTGATTTTGTCATCTGTAAAATGAGAATAATGATGTCTTCCTCACAGAGTCATTGTGAGAAAATTATGCAAAAATGTAATTGTACATGTTTATATATGTGTCATAAAAAATAGGTGCCCTTTTGCACTTTTTTTCTCTTAAAATAGTGTTTCTGAGATATCTGTAAATAAGACAACTTTGAGGCTATTTTGATATTTTTAGCCATGCTACTGTGACCATTCTTACACAAGAGCCCGAGACTCCACAGTTCAGAGTTAAGAGCAGAGTAGCTGATGGGGAACTCACTTGATTTTCTCAAAAATGTTGCCAAGTATCTCCACAAAGAAGTTGCACACATTTTTCCTCTCCCGGAAGGGTGATGGGGTTTTCATGGCCCCACATTGTCCATATAAAGAGGGTTCAGCATAAACACAAAATCACCAACTGAGCTTTATTTTTAAGCGTTAGAGTTATTCCAGAATATTATATGAGTTGTGAAGTGGGATCATTATATTTGTATTTAGAAATGTACAAGTGAAATATGCTGCCATGGTTAGAATGTTTGCCCCCTCTAAAATGCATGTTGAAATTTGGTTGATTGCTATTGTGACTTTATTAGGAGATGGTGTTACCGGTGTGAGGTTCTTGGTTCTCAGTGTAACAGGAACTAATATGAGGCCAGGCAAATTTTTTCCAGGCAATGTTTATTAAGACTTATGCCCAGAAACACTGGGCGTAAGGGAGATGGCACAGGAAAAAGAGTCCTCCAGCTGGCTCCCCAAGGGGAGCTTCTCAATGTTTTTTATTGGGTAGGGTAAAGAGATTGACATCAGGACTCCACCTCCTGGAGTGATTTCTTCCTTCCTGTTATGGTGTCTGTGCATGCTTTGTCCTGGTTGAAGTCTTGGTGCATGCTCAGTGGGTTCAAGATAGTGATGTTGCTCACTACTGCTGGCCCAAGAAGGTCATATAGTGGCCATTCTGGGGTCTCCTGTGCATGTAGATGTTAGGGTCAACTGCCTTGGGGAAGATTTATGGTTGGAGTGTTGCATATCTTAACTTCTTTAAGGTCCTGTTATCAGCAGGTATGGTGCCTTGAGTAAGATTTATAGTGCAAGGTCTGGATGGTCTAGTAGGGGTCCCTGCTGTCCACAGGGCCCCGCATCAGCTTGCAGCAGAGGTCCTTGGTGGAACACAGGGGACCTCAGGCTGTGGATGTGCTGATGTGGGTGCCCTTGGCTAGGCTGAATTTGGCAGGTGTGGGCTGAAGCTGCTGCCTGCGCTATCGCCAGTGCCCTTGCTGTACCCAGCAGTGTCTGGCCAGCCAGCAGCAGTAACACAAGTTCCTGAGGGCCACTCATGCACAGTGCATTACCAGTGCAGAGCTGTGCACAACACTGTCATCTTCCTGGCTCCAGGCTGCATCCCCATGCTCCAGGGACAGTGTGTGTAGTGAGCTCACGACAACATGTGGTGGGAACCCAGCAAGTCTGGAAAACAGAAATGCATTTGTGAGGATGAGGGCGATAAACCAAAAATAAAATTTAAATGCCTGCCATGCAACCATCTGAGTGGACTTCCTGTTCTGCCAGGGAGGGCACTCTAAAATTTAACCTGAAGGACTGGTTTAGGCCATCATGGGAAGTGGTGGTTGGACATGCCTCATTTTACCCCTCCAGCATTAATATTAACACAAACCTTAAGTCTGATATGAAACATTTACAGTCTATTCTCTCTAAAGCCTGCTACTTGGAGGCTTCATCTGCATGATAAAACCTAGTGGCTCACGCCTGTAATCCCAGCACTTTGGGAGGCTGAGGCGGGTGGATCATGAGGTCAGGACTTTGAGATCAGCCTGGCCAACATAGTGAAAACCCGTCTCTACTAAAAATACAAAAAACTAGTCGGGCGTGGTGGTGAGCACCTGTAATCCCAGCTACTTGGGAGGCTGAGGCAGGAGAATTGCTTGAACCTGGGAGGCAGAGTTGCAGTGAGCTGAGATTGCGCCATTGCACTCCAGCCCAGGCGACAGTGCGAGACTTGGTCTCAAAAAACAAACAACAACAACAAAAACAAAAACAAAAAAACCTAGGTCTCTGCAACTCCTTATCATAACCCAGACATTCTTTTCTATAGATAAGAACTCTTTCAACCTATTGCCAATCAGAATGTTTAAATCTATCTATGACCTGGAAGCCCACATCCCCCCCCCCCCTCCCCCCCCCCCCCCCCCCCGCCTTTGAGTTGCGCCACCCTTCCAGATTGAACCAATGTAAATATTACATGTATTGATTGATGTATTATGTCTCCCTAAAATGTCCAAATCAAGCTGTACCCCGACCACTTTGGGCACATGTCATCAGGACTTCCTGAGGCTGTGTCATGGGCACATCCTTAACTTTGGCAAAATAAACTTTCTAAATTGATTGAGACTTGTCTCAGATAATTTTTGGTTGAAAGAGGCAAGTCCCATCCCTACTGTGTCTCAGTGGGACTGTCAACGAAAAAAGTCAAACTCGATACAATATTTGAAGAGATTTATTCTGAGCCAAATATGAGTGAACAATGGCCTACGATACAGCCCCAGGATATTCTGGGAAAGTGTGCCCAAGTGGTAAGGCTACAGCTTGTTTTTGTTTTGTTTTGCTTTTTGAGACAGAGTCTTGCTCTGTTGCCCAGGCTGGAGTGCAGCAGCATGGTCTCAGCTCACTGCAACCTCCACCTCCCAGTTCAAGCAATTCTCCTGTCTCTCAGCCTTCTGAGTACCTGGGATTACAGGTGCGTGGCACTACACCCAGCTAATTTTTGTATTTTTAGTAGAGACTGGATTTTGCCATGTTGCTGGGCTGGTCTCGAACTCCTGACCTCAGATGATCCACCCCCCCCCCCCCCCCCCGCCTCGGCCTCCCATACAGCTTGATTTTATACATTTTAGGGTGATATAAGTTATCAATAAATACATATAGGATGTACATTGCTTTGGTCAGGAAAGGCAGGACAACTGGAAGCTGGGGAGGGGGCTTCCAGGTCATAAGTGGTTTTAAAGATTTTCTGATTGGCAATTGGTTGAAAGAGTTATTATCTAAAGACCTGGAATCAATAGGAATGTCTGGGTTAAGAACAAGGGGTTGTGGAGACCAAGGTTTTATCATGTAGATGCAGCTCCAGAGAGAGGCTTTAGAGCTCTAATCAGAGCTAAAAAGGTGCCAGACTCTTGCTTAATTCTCTCCTGGATCAGAGGAAAGACCTGGAAAGGATAGGGAATTCTCTACAGAATGTAGATTTTTGCCAGAAGAGACAACTTTGCAGGACCGTTTCAAAATATGTGAAGGAAATACGTTTTGTGGTAAAATTCTTTGATTCCTTTCAGGGCCTGCTATCTTGTGATGCTATACTAGAGTCAGTCTGGAATTTGGTGTCTTATTTGGTGTCTTTATTGCTACAAAGTCTTGTTTTGTCAGTCTTAAGATCTCTTTTAATGTTAGTGCTGGTTAGTTGTGCCTGAATTCCAAAGACAGAATAGCATAATGAGGCATGTCTGACCACCCATTCCCGCCATGACCTGAACTAGATTTTCAGATTTACTTTGGAATGCCGTTGGCCAAGAGGGGAGGTCTATCAGTCTGTTGGGAGGCTTAGAATTTTACCTATGGTTTACAGAACTTTTGAGAAGTGTTTGGGCTGTGAAGGCTCTACCTTCATGAATGGATTGTCATTATTACAGAAGGTGGTTCATTATTGCAAGAGTGAATCTGTTATAAAAGGGTACATTCAGGTCCCCTTTGTCTCTTGCCCTCTGCCCTGTGATGACACACCGTGAAGGCCCTCACCAGATGCTGGTCCCTGAATCTTCAATTTCTCATCCTCCATAACTGTGAGCCAATAAAATTCTGTTAATTATAAATTACCCAGTCCCAGGTATTGTCTTAGAGCAGCAAAAACAGACTAAGACAGGAAATTGGTGTCAAGAAGCCTGGCTGTTGCTATTAAAAAAAAAAAAAAAACCGGCCGGGTGCGGTGGCTCAAGCCTGTAATCCCAGCACTTTGGGAGGCCGAGGCGGGCTAACACGGTGAAACCCCATCTCTACTAAAAATACAAAAAAAAGAAATTAGCCGGTCGTGGTGGCGGGCACCTGTAGTCCCAGCTACTCTGGAGGCTGAAGCGGGAGAATGGCGTGAACCTGGGAAACGGAGCTTGCAGTGAGCCGAGATCGCGCCACTGCACTCCAGCCTGGGCGACTCCGTCTCAAAAAAAACAAACAAAACAAAAAAACAACAAACCTGTAAACATAGATGCAGCTTTGGAACTGGATAATGGGTGGAGGCTGGAAAAATTTGGAGGAGCAGAGTAAAAAACCTAGATTTCCATAAATGGAGCAATTCAGGTGAGGGCTCAAAGAAGAGAACTGTAGGGAAAGTCTGAAACTTCTTAGAGATTACTTAAGTGGTAATTACTGGGTGAGGTGTCAGTCCCAGCATCAGAAAGTGGTCGACTTGCAGGTTGTTAAGAATTTACTGACAACAGTATAGGTTTGAAAAAGGAAAGTTTTATTAGAAAGAAACAATGTTGCAGAAGAATGCAGCATTTATGGACCTCAAAGTGGGAGCTTAAGTGTCATTTGGACCATATTAGCCATGTAGGTCATGATAAGTGATTATATTTGTAGACATTTCGGTTCCTTAATGTCAACAAGGGCTGCACAATGAGTTTTGACATGCATGGATTCCAGAGATGTATAGAAATTCTAGTTACTTAGAAAATTTTTGAAAGAGGCCTGGAACCTTTAGGCACTAGGGAAGTTTAATTACTTCTAAATTCCTCAGATAAGGAATTTTGCCTCAGAATTGCCTGTCTGATGGTCACCAGGTGTTCTTGACTTTCTTCATTACACTTCTAAATTCCTCAGAGAAGGAGTTTTTGTCTCTAGGGCTTACTCTATGGCCACCTGGTGATTTTGCTCTCCTGACTTTCCCCCTGACAAATATTTTGGTAAAATCTTTGACCCTTTAGTAATGATCAGAATGTTGGTAGAAATATGGACAGCAAAGGCCATTCCGATGAGGTCTCACATAGAAATGAGGAACAAAGTATTATAAACTGGAGAAAAGGCCATCTTCATTATAAAGTGGCAAAGAACTTGGCTGAATTATTTCCATGCCCAC